CTGCTGGTGTCACGGCACTGCGGAGCTGCCCAACTCGCGCTGAAGAATCACACTGAAACATTCTTACTTGTCCTTGAAGTTGCATATGAGTAACAAATGTGAGTTGATCATGTAAATCAAGCATACTTAGAAATTTTTAAGTGTTGAGGAAACTCACTACCTGCTTTTGAGTGACCTGGGTTACAGATAATCAAACATTATATGAGAAATTTCTTGGTTTATTGGCCTTGCTGGAAAGAAAGGGCTAAGGACAGTGGGGTTAGCACCTTGGGCAGTCTGGATTGTGTGTTTATTGGCAAGATCCCAAGCAGAGTGAAAAAGGGGAAACAAAGACAATGTAATGACAGTATTATCATGTTAAAGATTTTTCTCATTCCTGTAGTAGTGCAATAGGTATTTTTCTTGATAGGGTAATATGGCAGAACTTATTTAAGTCAGTTTTCTCCAACTACATTGATTTAGATTACTGATAGGAAAAGAAAAAAAGAGGAGACATTTTTTAAATGAAACTAACTTTCCAGATTACCCTACAGTTTCCAAGTTTGCAAATTAATTTTTGAATTTCAAACTATATTCTTAATTCTTTGTAAGATAAAATGGGATCCTTTATGAATTTTGCTAATCAAGATAACGCTTATCAGTATGATCAGTAACTTTTTTAACAAAACTTAAATGCATGTAAGTACGTTGTATTTATAAGAGCTAGGGAAAATGCTTTTTTGTGCCAAAGAAGTTTCATAAATTGTTTACATGAGTAGTTGCAATACAAGACAGGTTTTTAATTATTGCTTACTCCTGGGTGTTTACAGTATGTCACTACACTCTGTATGGTGTTAGTTGATTTGCCTCTCGTGAGGGTACCTTGGCACTACTACTACACTCTGGTCATCTTAGAGTGGGCTTGAGAGAAGCTTGACTAAAAACTTCAGGAAATGTGTAGCCCTTGTAAGCATGAGGCTACGCCTCTCCGGAACTCAAGGCACTGTTGGGTTTAGCTGGAGGAGGCTCAAGATACAGCTCTTGAACTCTCCAGTCCACAGTGCTGCAGGTCGTTCCGTCCATGGCAGGGCAAACAACTACAGATGCCATTTTAATGAAGATTTTTAATGTCAAATACACCAGACCTTGTCTTTCAAGCCCTCATGTACCCACCCAGTTAATTTCTCTGTAATAAACTCTGGCCATTAAATCCTTTCATATGCTGTCAGAATGTCCATTACTTCATGTAACTTTTATTTTTTGTTAGCACATTAAGCACCTGTTCTCTTATGGCAGTTGAGAAACATTATTAACCACTAATTTGTAACTGAGAGATGCATTTTTACTACAAATACAGTGAGGGAATCCATATTGCACAGGTTAACATTCTACATCGAGGTACGGTGATTTAATCGCTCTTGTTTGCTGTTAAACATTTCTACATCCTGCTACACGAGTATTTTGGAGGGGGCTACAATCATGATCTCCAGTCATGTTCGCTGATGGCTCTTTTCTTGGAGCTACTGGTGTGAAATTCATGTGTCATTTAACTGAAGTCTTTTAAGTAGTCTGACACCACTGTGAGCTTCTGGCTGTCATTTTGTGCATGGGAAATCAGTTTCGTCTGTCTTTCTCAGTTCTAAACGTTAATCTTTTTTCAAAAAAATTTTAAAAATGCCAAAACTGTATGTTTTGTTGCCTTGATGTTCCATAAATGTTGCATGTAAATTAAACATTTTGTATCATCGCTAATTACTAGTATTTGTCTCTATTTTAATCATACAGGATAAAGTAAGACAATTCAGCAAACTAGAATCCTACTGAGTTTGTAGCAAATTCTTTTCTTGCAAAACAGGGAGACTTTGGTTTTGTCGCTGTATTTCATTCAGTGCAGTCCAAAATCAGCTGTTACTATTTTCTTTCACTTAGGCCTTATTTTGAGGCTGTAGCGTAAAATTACTTTGAAAATCCCGATGGGGGAACACTGTCAAAGATCTCCTACAGCAGTGCCTCTCGCCTGCACCGTATGCTATAACTTGGTACCCAATGTCTTTACAACTAGAGCATTTTTCAGTGTGTGAAGGATGGCCAAACACATGCTGGGATACCTTCTTCGTGGTAGAATAGGGCTGAAGTCCACTTCTGGGGTAAAGCACACCTAAAAGTTGGTGTCTTGATGACCTGACTACTGAGCTGCTGTTATACCAGCACAGCCCCTCATTAAAATATGCAAAAAATAAAATTCAGCCGCTCTATTGAAAATGCTTGACAAAATGTAGTTAAAAATAACTAGATGTAGTTAAAAATAATTTAAAAGACGTCATACAGAGGAAGTTCTGCCTCAGTAAGTCAGGTGTTCACGAGCAAGCGAGATGCTGCAGCTGCTCATACCCCACATGCGCTGCACATGCTCTGCTCTGGACCCACCTGGGGTTACACCAGCAAACTTGGCCTGCAGTCCCAGGGGGTCCCAGAGGCAGTGGGTGTGGGGAACACACTCCTGCCTTGGAGCTTTGTGCCAGCCTTCGCTCCCAAGGGAGCATTCCTCCTAAACGCCTGCACAGGCAGCTGTCTTCACTGCCTGGGGGCGACTTCATTTCCTAGAGTGTTACCTTAAACTAAGAAGCCGCTGCAGCTCCTATCAATGTGTTCACCATGTGCTCTGGGTTTCTAATGAGCACCATGTACTTTTTCCAGTTTGACCTAAAGCATTTTTCATTTTAAATACACCCAAGAAGAAACCAAAGGCTAAAATGTGCTTTTACACAAAACACAGAGCTGCAAATAGCAAACGTGCACAGAATTGAACATGTATCGAGCAAGAAGAAATAAGCATTTATTGAATTCATTCTATATCAACCTCCTTATGGAGGAATAATCATATCATACCACTGGAAGCCCAAAACATTTCTAAAGAGTCACACTGAAAATGAACACAGTGGCGGTGGTTATTCTTCATTGCTCTGTCCAGCCTCAATTCTTCTCCCCTTTTAACTGTCACTGAAGAACAGTCAGCACCTCTCTTCCTCCCCCTGCCCCTTCTCCTTTCTTTCTTTTTCTCTCTTAACTGCAAGAGAAATCACAAAATCTTCAATGATAGTTTGAGTTGCGTGTATTTTCTTAGTCTTAAGAAAAAAGTGAATTTATCCTTTGTGAAACAGTTAAAAATCAAGTTGTATTTAGTTACCAAATGTAATGGCAGAAATTCCCTGGGAGCTCTAGAAAAGCCTTGACAGATTCAAATTTGGCACAACTTTCACCATATATTTTGACTTCACACAGTTGGATGAAGGAGAATTAAGGACGTTCGTTCATTTTTTGTTTAAATGAGAAAAGATAGACTTTCTGCATTCGTAAGTGCTGATCATTATGGCAGGAGCAACTTTAACCAGCCGCAGAATAATACCTGCCCAGAAGAGAAAGGAAAGGATTGACTCATGTTTGTTTTCAGCCTGAAGTACTGTGTTACCTGTTAGTGGTCGCAATACATTGATCCCATGGTGCATCAGTGGAGACCTGGGATTGTGCCTGTCTGCGTTCCTCAGACACTGACATTGCCGGCTGCAGGTATTGCCGCTGTGACACCTGCATGCGCTTACCCATGCCAGCCCGTGTGGCCCGCCTACCTTGAGTCCGTTGTGTCTCTGCTCCTTCAGTCTCTCCACGGAGGTGACTTGCAGGGCCACTGTGCACCACAGAAGAGGTGGCCCTGGGGACAGCCCGTGTGCCCTCCCCTGAGCATCAGTGCAAACCTGCTGCTCATGTGGGATGAGCAGAGGCTTGTGACCCCTCTGGTGGGACAGCAAGAGGTTCAGGAAGCCCTGAATCCTGAAACGGGGAAAGTCAGGGGGGAAGAGGCCCAAGTACCATGCTCTGCCGTAGGTCTGTGTTTCAGCCCTTCAAGCCGACTCTTAAGTAAAAAGTGGGATTCCCCTGCCACTGGCTCCTAAGACCTACAGCACCTTTACTAGAATAGAAGGATCCTGGTCACATGTTTATACATGTAGATAGAACGTAGGCATTGTCTCCTTTTACAACCATGTCAGTGGAGTTTAGAAAGTGCTTCGGTTCACTTACAGGTAGAAAAATAAGGCTGAATCCACTTGTCTACACACAGCCATCTACCTTGAAACGCAAAGACATCTGCATGGAGCTAGCGCGGACAACGCATGACCTATGGAAAACCTGTGTCCCTTCGGAACAGCAGCAAGAAGCCAGGCAAAAGCACCCCCGGTCATCTCCCCTACATGTGGGAGACAGAACCAAGACAGTGACTGATCAAGAGAACATCTCTATACTCTGTTACTCACATGTCAATACCTAAAAGTAGATATCCTAATCTATGAACTAAATTCCAGCCAAAATGTCTAATAATATCAATACTTTGTGGTGCCTTGCATTCTGCTGGCATCAGTGCTCTGAAATATGCAAACCCTGCTACCCAGCTATGTCATCACGGCACAGCAAGTAAAGCAATTTCATCTTTTTCAGCAAATGCTAACAAGTCTTGAAAGCCTTCACACAAGAAACCTCAACGAACCAATGCAGTGTTATCATGACCTGTAAGTATCCTGGGTTTGGACTGTCTGTCAGTTCAGTATGAACTTCCATAGGCTTTTATCTCACTATCATTTTAATCTCAATGTCTTGTCATTTCCTCCTTAGGCTGCCAGAGTCACACATGACAACACGTGTGCATCCCAAAGGACTTCTGTGCATGGCCACCACATAGTGCCCCAGCATTCAACAGAACAGGACAACAGGAGCCTCACCCATCAGCAGACTTGCTGAAGACTGAAAGACATGGGAATCTCTTCCCCTACAGCCTGGGAGAAGGGTGTGGGGGGAGCTGAACAACAAGTGCCAGGGAAGTAAGAAAGCTTGGGGAGATGAGCACCCCAAGGTGGGCACTCGGGAGGTCAAAAGCACACTATGACTACGAGCATTTTACGTACGTTCAAGGTTGAATTTTCAGTCTCCAGTTGCTATACACAGAAAGGAGGATATGCAAAAGCAAAACACTTTTAACAGCAGCCTCATTAAGAAGTGATAGTGTTTTAGTCTGGAGATACTTGGGCTTGCAAGTTATTGACGGAACTGCCCGAATGTACGTATTCAACAAAGGCAAAGTTTCCTGTTCTTCAATATGGCTTTCTGTAAGTTACAAAAATAAATGTCTAGAAGAGCCAAAGGAACATCCCAGCATCTCTCTCAAACGGCTCCGTAGTCACCATACTACTGCTCTGGAACCCATGGATGAAAACTTCCAGCCTCCCCCATACAAACTGGGCCCCAACACCCCCGATCCTCTATGAAATACAAGGCACAGACAAACCTCCTGTAAGAATGCCCTCCCTTCAGAACACAAGCATTTCCACTTGAAGCAGACTCTCAAAGAGAGAAGAAATAATGCATTGAGAGATTGAAGAGGGACAAATTCTATGACGTAGCTGGGTGTTTGATAGAAAACGTAAAGGAAAAAATCCTTGGGGAATAGTCGTTGCATGACCTGGAATGTCTAAAATATTGTACAGTATTCAACATAATTAGTCCCATCTAGTAAACAAACAATTACGAATATAATTCCCATATCTTCCAGTGCTCTGTAAAAATCTGCATTGAGGTCCATCATAGGAGAGATGGGCTCTGTCCTACGCCTAATATTCCACAGGCCAGTAATGGTATTTTATTTTGTGAATTCTGCTTCAAAATAACTGTTCCATACTCAGACTTCCTCAATAATGTCTCTTCAAAGACTAAGAAGGAGACAGAAAAATACTTAAACTTTGTTTCTGAGACAGAAAACCAAAAAAAATTGAGTATAGAAACCCAGTATGAGATGAAGAACCAAAATGAGGATGGCTGTTCCTAAATACAGGTGCTCCAAAAGTACTGATAATTTGGAAATTTTTAGTTCTTGACTAAAAACTGCATCTAAGAAACTTCCTCAGTCTAGACACACCTCCATACTACAGCTTCCAACCCTACAATCCATTAAATTACCTTTGTACTGATTCATTCTGAAAAACACAAGCAGTATAGTTTAAAAAAGCAACAAATTATTTAAATTTGAAAAAAAAACATTTCCTGATCTGAACCTTTTCTCACCATTTGTAACTGCCAACACAGCTGTATCTGTCAAGTCCAATCCCTCTATTTTTCAAATAACTCATGTTCACCTCAGATGGCTGTGGCTTAGTGACTTGTGAAGAGATTACCAAAATTCACCTTGAATGTGTGCACGTCTGTGCTTTATATATGCGAACGATTCCGTGACTGAGAGCGTTCACAGAAACGGAACTGTCACATAATTTATGCATGTTAACATCTATAATCACTTAGATATCAAAATATTTACCAGCAAATAATAAAGTAATCCCGTTTTTAGCAACAATTTTCCTCATAACTGCCCAGGTTGATGCACGGTCCCTCTGTGGAACTCCGTGTAGTACAAGAAAACAGTGAATTAAGCAATATACACCATGCCACAGAAAAATATTTTTAGAAATCCGAGACAGTCACTTAAAATTTAATTATTAGGTTTAATTGATTTTATCCAGACATACTATTTATACAGGATGTTAAATTCATACAGTAGGCAAATTCATGCAATACACAAGTTAAAATAGCGTGACATGGAGAAACCTGGAGTAATGCCTGGGGCAAGACACATGAACAGGGACAATAGTCCCTATTAGAGTAAGTGATTTTGTTGTTTTTTTCAACCAGCCTTCAACTCAGCCAGTCCCCTCCATGTCACCTCAACTGTGCAGCTAAAGGATCATCACAATTCGGCTTTGTAAACAAGAGCTTTCCTTTATGGTAAACTGAATCCGAAGGTAAGTTTTGAGAAATGATATCATAAGAATGAATATAATAATTAAGCTCGGATACTACACCTAAGTTTACAAAAACCAAATCCCCCCCAAATTTCTGTTAGTTTAAGAAAGGGCTACAAGACATGGATCGCAGTCCCTTGTAGAGCTGACCCAGATACCATAAACAACCTGACTGCAGCAGCAGTGAGAAGCAATCTGCACTGCAGTCATATGCAACTGGTTTAAACAGAGGCATTTTTTGGTGCTATTTCACACTGCACATGCTGTTTCCATTGATCTGTAATATGAAAGTGGCTAAAAAATTTTTTCTCAATTAAAGTTACAACAGTTTCATAGAATACGTTCAGGAGGAGCATCCTACAGCGTCTGGAAGCTACAAAATATTTTCACAGCCACAGAGAGACATGTAGATGCATAGTCAGTGTCCAACTCTAACAGCAACTGGATTTGGAAAGAATTCAACTAGTACAAATTATAGATAACCATCACGAAATTTTAAATGTACATTAATCTAGTTACTATCAGCCTAATAAACATACAGCAGCTACCTGTGATTGAAAGTGGTGTTAGCAATGAACTCGGACATTTATCGGCACAAGAAGAGAACTGAAACACAGAAACTTTACATTTAAAGCTTTTTTCATCGTTGTCTATTCGGCAGTGAAACATAAATATGTTTTTTCAAGAATTACACCAGAAAAAAATAATTTACCTGAGAATGAAATCTCATGCCAAAAAGCAAGATTAAGCTTTCATTACGTCTTTGTGAACTAGGGCCGTCAACTTAGTTCCTAAGCAGAAACTGTTTGGGTACTCGTCCTTTTTACTGCTCTGGAATCTTAAAGCCACAATCTAACATTCATTGAAGTCACTGAAAGTCCTGCAGGTCCTGGTCCCAAGCAATAGAAAAAAAAGGATTTAGATACGACTTGATTTTGTATAAAGCGCAGTGGTGCTCTACTGAATGCAGAATCCTCCTTTCCTCTTTCATTCTTTAAAGCCATTGGGATAGTCATGCCCTCAAAAATAATGTCTTTGACATGACACAAAAAGAAGGTGAAAACCCACAACCTGAGCGCTGTGCTTTCTCACTCTAGGCTAATATTTAACAAAATAATATCGTTACGAAGGAGCAAGCTGTAGTGAATGTGCGAATATTTTATCATGTTATTTTTATCAACCCAAATGTCTTTTACAGTAGATCACTGTTCACCTGAATGTTTTATAAGAAATTAAATTTTGGCCTGTTTACTTAATGTATACAAATTTGCCATTGGTCTGCCTAAACATAATAGTTCTGGACATTTTCTGTTCATATTTTATACCATCTTATTAACCTAAATGGTACTGAACTCACACCTTTTCCCTCCTCCGTGCCATTAACGAAATACTTATTTGTCTGAGGAGATAAAAAATATCCTATGAGATGTTACAATTTGGAGACAAAAAAAGGCCTTAGTGATAGAATTTTTAGATAAACTTTAGAAAAAGAGACAAATATTTTAAATTCCTACCAAAGGCTATATACTCAAATACTAGGTTTTATTTTTCCAAACATTATGGGCTTTTTCTCCTTACCAGCAACTCACTTTTTAAGGTCTCACCCTCCCAAAGTTCAGCCTGCTTGTGTGTTTTCACTACATCACATGGCAGTTATGACAGCTGCAGTCTAGCAGGAAAGGAAATCGGTTTTAATGTTAAAGCACAAAAAATTACAATTTAACTAAATTTTTTAATTAAAGCGCACACAATTTAAAACTAGATTTGATACTCCAAGTGCCTGATATTACTGATTTCAGAATCAGAAATACTGTATTTCAGAACACTGTAATTTATTCAGATATACCCAACCAGCTTGAATGCCAGGCTGTGTGTATTTAAAGTAGATGCACTCCAAAACATACACCATTTCTGAGAGGCTTGTATAATATTCAAACCTCTTTTGAATAGTTTATTAGTGATAATAATAAAGAGTAGAACTAGAAACAAAATAGAGCCAGATGCTGCTGCTGAAGTAAAAGCAATAAGAAATGTTGGTTCATGGGCTTCCTTACACATCATCTTCCTGAAACATTCATAATGACACCAGCACATTGCTACTGTTATTAAAAAAATGAAGTTGCATTACACACGTCAAACACAGAAATTCTTTCATCAAGTACAGATGTCAGAATTCTACTATGGCAACAGATGCAAAAGGAAACAAGAGCTGAAAGCACAATCAAAATGTTCTCTGTGTACTCCATGGGCAGATTGCCTTGTTCCCCTTATCTCCATATTCCAGTTTTCTTCATATGATACAAATTAGCCTAACAATTTTGTAATTCCCACAGAGCAACCCCTACCCTAAGCCAAGCACCACAAAACTCACATAACTGTTTTTTTTAAAATTCAGTGTAACATAAATCAAAATGTAGGCTTCTAATTACCTGCTGTTTTCAGGGATATTTCACACATTTTATAGATCTCACTAACTACAGAACTCTTTCCTACAAAATGAAAGACTTCTCAGGGCTGCCTCATACTCTTCTGGGTGACTGAGTGTAAAATTTAATTCTGAGAGAACCAAGAAATGCAATTTTGCTCTCTGGAATTACTAAGGGGGATGCCCGTGTGAGAACTGTCAAAGACAATCTGATGACGAACAACTTTTAAGAACAACACATTCCTGTTTTCATCTGCTGAACTAAACTGCACTCTTTCTGCATTCTAACTACAGTTCTTCAAACTGTATGCTACTGGGCTACGTTACAGTGCTTCCTCGTGCAGCTGGACAAATAAATGCTGCAAGTGACAGATGCATATCCTGAAGGATGACTGTGGCTCGTTCAGCACTGAGTTCTGGAGGCTGCACCAGCAGAGAAATACCAAAGTATTTTCTTGCCATGAAGGCTGCCAGCACACACACCTGGCCTCCAGCGTTTTGCACAAGTAAATGTAGGCAGTATCTCAGAAGGCATTCTCAGTGTTTGAGGAAAACCTACTATTGAAATGCGGGAAACCCTGATTTAGTATAAATTATCTGAATCCAAAACTTTGCTTAAGCACCCGTAGGCTTCCCTTCCCTGTATACCTCTTGTGTTTATATTCTCTGCAACACTGCTTAAAGGATGACTCAAGTGTTATTTTTAACCCAATTCTTGTGCTTATAAACATTCACTGCTGAAGTTCTATTCAGTTCAGCTGCCCTCCCAGGGAACCTGCTTGAAGCACATCACCCACACTTAGGCTGGTACCAGAGTGGGATTCTGATCACCCTGGGCTGCCTGAGTCATGCTGGGATGCTTGACTGTTTTCGTGGAGGAGCTGCTTTCTCAATACGAATTGTTACACTGATTTTAATTCCTCCTGGAAGAGCTAACTTGAACTAACTGCAGCAAAGGCGCAGGCTGTGCTGTGAGGATACCAGACGCCATGTTGGGGCGTCATGCAAACATCAGAGCTAAGATTGAAGGTGTTAAGGGAGCACAACTTAACTGCACAGAGTATTTATAAGGAAAAAATGATCAGAAAACACATTTGGAAAAGGCACTGGAAAAAGCATAAAACATCCTTAGCTTTATATCATCAGAGTTCTGTGGAATTTCATTTTGTTGAGTTTTTTTTAAAAATAAGTTTTCTTTTACCCGTGCATCTAAATGCCTGCTCGCTTCTGGCCCTTTAACAGTAGTCCTTAACCTGTAAGGCAGTAGCTGCATGTTCACCTGTGCCTCTACCTTTCCAGGACCCCATGATGCCTACAAAGTAGTCAGCACAGGTGAGTGCCCGATGGCTGTGAAGCGAATGCCAGAGCAGTGCAGAGACTGACTTAAAATCAACGAGGATGTTTTGGACCAGAGGAAGAACAGCGAACAGCAGGCATGGACAAAAGAATCTGAAAAGGGCTGAGAAGAACATACAGACATCACCTCAGTGCCCTCTTCCTTGTGCGCTCCCTCAGAGACCTCTGATCTGCCCACTCTGTTAAAAGCAGCAAAGGGAAGGAACATCACTAGCTCCTGCCACATTGCTACGGGCAAAAATCAGTGAGAGAACAATAGTTTCTTCTTGAAGTCAGACAACAGGAATTAGATGTATTTTAGAGTTGCCTTACAAAGCTCAGCAGAACAGCCTAGGAGAAAAATGCATTTGGCAGAGAAGAAAAAATAAGTAAATTAAAATCTAAATATTGAATAGGAAGAACTTGGGCAAAGATTTGGATGAATTCTGACAGTTATCTTTAGCCTTAGAGAAGGCGTCTTTCCATAGATTCAGACGTCTTCCCTATCACAGAAGGCTAAATTAAGTCCCATCAAGTAACAGGATCCTTAAGCAGGAAATATAGTCCAACCACCATCTTTAAACATCTACCAGTAGCAAAGTGAAAGAAAACAGTATTATTCATTCTGAAAAGAGAATGGCTGAAATAACCTAGCTCTGTTAACTCACTTAACTGCTAAGTGTAATTTTTAACTAAATATCCTCACCTTACTTACCCACTTACCATGCATTGGTTTGGTTCACAGACAATCTAAAATTTATTCCAGGTGCACATCTGAATGTGCTCAAATTCTGTAAGAGTCCATACCAATGATTGCTCACTAGACTGTCCAGAACCACAAATTAAATTACACGTCAAATTATCTTAAGAACAAAGTAGGAGAACAAAGGTAGCAGGGCAAATACTTTAAGGGTTCTCTGCCTCCAAAAACAGATATGAAGCATTTTTCTGGGCCAACACAAGGTCTTCAAAGGTGTTATGCCTGGTACTTTCCAAAGTACCAAAGCAGAAACTCCTTCAAGGACAACTGCTGCCCGATGATCCACAAGTGTTCTGACAAGGGGCCTCAAAGAGACAGGGGCTCTCACCACTGGCATTAACAAGTGGGAAAACTGTCCTTTAGCGGTCTCACCCAATTACCTTTGTAGCTCACAACATCGCAGAGGTGTGACAAAAAGGGAGAAATCTCCTCTATCCTTGTTATATTAAAGAGTAGTCCTAGGACTAGCTATGCTCCGTATCAGAATTTTCTCCTAGACTTTCAGCTTTGGAGCTTTCCTAACAAGTGGTGCTCTAGCTTCATGTTTTTTGGACCAGTTACACAAACTCATTCATCTTGCTAACAAAAATTCCTGCAGACACTACTGTGTCGCTGTACATGTTTTCAAAATTAAGCATCAGAACGCTTCAATACAGCGTGTTTCTCTATAAGGAAATAGCCACTATACCTAGAACAGAGAAAATGCCCTACTGAAAGTCTTCAAAACCAGTCATTGCACAAGCTATTTTTTGCCAAGAAAGGCTGGATCAGATGATCCTTGAGATCCCTTCCAACTCGCTGTTCTATGATTCTGTGATTCTAAAGATGAGAAGAAACAGTCTAAGTATAGAGAAAGGGAATGTAACAATGAACCCTAGCTAGTATCCACAAACAAAATGGGGAAAAAATATCAGATCCTCAAAGAATTTATAAGTAAAAACACTCAAAAGACAACAAGTAAATCTCAGTCATTCTTAAAGCTAACCATTAAAATTACCTAAAAACACAGAAGTCTAAAAGACTTATGCATAAACAGACCTGATATAACACGAGCTTACACCCAAAATAAGCCCACTCCCAATAAGAAAAAGGTGGGCATTTTAAAAATCAACATTTACTAGTAATATATCCTGACCATTAAAATCAGGTCTCACCTTACTTTATATATTTGATTCCTTTCAACTCTCCCATTATCCTTGAAATATTTCCCAGAATGTTTCCGCTTCAAATAGGAATACCATATCTAGTCACAGTACCTAAGCTTTCTGGGCACTCAAGTTACTTATCTTTTTTCGATACTGGCAGGTTGTAATCCGTGTAAAATGTTAAGAATTCTCCTTTTCAAATTTGCTACATAGATAGGCTGAAAATTTAAAGTACTTTTAAAGATTACTTTTCAACAATTACCATTTTTAAGTGTAACTTGAAGAAAATTGCCTTGGGGTTTGGTGGGATTTTTTTGGGGGGTGGGGTTTTTTGAGGACAAAAATGATGGATAGAGATTAAGCTTTTATGGATTTCTAAGCATTTTTGCCGTTCTTGTTTTAAACTATTAAGAATATTTAGCAGGCAATCTGTACCTGGTAAAGTAACACTCTTGCATCTCGTGGCAAGGTCAGTGAGTTGCCGCTCACTAGCAAGCTCCCATCACACATGTAACTGACTCTTCAACAATTTTACTTTTCTCCTTTTGCTGGGATAAGGTTTCTTTGACATGTAAATTTATAATCTGGAGCAGCATAGTGAGAACAATTGTCCACATCACCACAGAATAACGATTACTTTTCTACTAGCCTTCCAGTCCCCCTCACAATTGTCACGAGTGGAATATGGAAATACACTCTCAGAGTCTTCTAAGAAAGCCCAAAAATACATGACCTGAGCTGCTACTTCAAAAATAGATGAAAAGGATAAACAAAAGTGAGAATATATAAAAAGACATTCAGTCCCTTTATATCATACAACAGTCAACCCAGTACAAGTCTAACTTTCATCTTCCATGTAATTACCTGTGTAGCTTCCATTATAGAAAATAATGATGTTTATTATCAGATTCACTACCAGACTTAAACTGTCCTTGGTGGAAATCTAGAACTATAAGCTTTTGAACAGATTACAAACAAAGTAAAAGCGTAACAGCAAAAATAAATCGCATTATTCCAGGTTAGAGCGTTATGTTGCCCAACAAATACTGGGTAATTACAGTATTCCTTCCTATGCCCAGCTCCACATAATATTATCCCCCATTTAAAGCCCCAGCAAATTTACCTTAAAAACAAAACAATGAAACAAACCCAAGAAAGCCACATACAGGGATTTTATTTCAGTTTTCTCTTTAAACAAGTGACAATGTGTTCATCATCCTTTCCTAGTCTAGATTTCAGGGCTTCACTCCGTTGGTCACAGAAGGCCAAATAGACTACTGTAGTAGGAAGTGCCATTATTCTGAAAGATAAGAGACAGAATCTAAATCAATACAAGGAAAGCAGGAGCATAAAGTCAACCATCTTGTGAGCAAATTTTGCTTAAATAAGGAAAAGTTAAATCTCCAGCTGTGTGTTGTTACAGATGATGAAAAAGTATTCCTCCCATGCCTTTGATTCACTGCCTCTAGTTCAGAGTTTCAGATTCACAGCTTTCCCAGTTTTTTACTTCGTTAGAAAAAACTGTAAGTAAAATGGTGGTGGATTATCTCAATCAAAATGTATTTCGTATCAGTTTCAGAACTGTTTTGATAAAGGAATGGAATTGAAAGATCTGAATATGAAGCAAGCAAACAAACATTATGGAAGCAGCTATTACCCTACATTTTTGTTCATTTAACTATTGGAGAGTATTTTCTCTATCTTAATCAACACTTATGATTCTGATTACTTGAAAGACAATGTGGAGATAGTAAATGTATGCCGAGGGGATTGAAGCACAGACTCAGGTTTGATAGATCGAAGACTCTTTATTGTCAGAAAGCTGCGGTTTAATACGTTTATTACATGTAAGTATACTGTCCACGCACTCTTTTACACGTTATAATTGGTTACTACTCTCTGTCCATTTTGCCTGTTCTCTACATCTCATTGGCCTATTCTACCGCGCATGTTCAGGCAGCTCTCGTCTTCCGGGTTTCTGGGCGTTCAGCCAACTCCTCTTATGTAACTGACCCCGGCTGGGCGTCCGGCCAACTCCTCTTATATAACTAAACTGTGGCTGATTCAGGCTGGCTTACTTAGCAAAACTTTAGGCCTCAGGCTAAGCCTGAACCACTGTCCCCGCAACTGTACACTTTCTCAATTCCAGCGTTTTACACACTATAACAAAACCAGCCAGATCTATAATCACCTGGTGTAGGGGTAAAGCACTGTATCTCACTAGAAAATTGCAGCTGTATTTCTGTGTCACGTCTGTGCCAACATAGCATAAACACCATTACCAAAACCAGTGAAGACTGACATGCTTGGAAAACCAAGTCACAGTTTAGATCTTCTTTTAAAAAATGTTTACCTCTCTTCAGCCAAGCAGCTGGTTCTCTGCAGGAGAAAAAAACCTGTGTCACGGCTGAAATACAGATCACTTAGTTCCGTTAGATCCTACAGGTTTGTATTTTGAAATTGCCACGTGCTGCAGGTTAAATAGCAAGGCCTGAGCTCCACTACGCTTTGCTTTCTTGTGCCTATAAACTGAGCACTGTGTGCAAATCAGAAATGCACCAATGCTTCCCCACTGGGCTCTCTGACTTGGAACAAGAGAACTGTAACACAACACTTCATGTCTTACAAGATCCAGCTTGAATATACATGTTAGATTTGACCACTTTCTCGGACTGCTGATGGAGGAGGACATAACTAGAGGTCTTCATTATTAGCTGTACTAGGTTCATGTGAATAACAAGGTAAACCAGATTGGTGCTGTTTAGCCTGACGAGAAGACCAGGACAGGATTTGATAACAGTGTTTAAACGTGTAAATTGCTCTTGTGGAGAGAAAAAGAATGATCTTTTTTCCACAACAAAGTTGTACAGGATATGAACCAATAAAGTTCTTTGGAATAAAGAAGATTCTAGTCAGATGTTAAAAAAAAATTAAGCCAGGGTAATGACATGCGACACTGGTGCGTTCATGGAAACAGCAGTGCTGCTTGTTGCAAGCCACTAGTAGGAAGCTAGGATAGCAACTATTGATCAAAGACCAGCACTCGCTAACCATCACTCTCCACCCTGTGATTGGATGACGCTGTCAAGAGGATGGTTACAGGACAGACACAACCTCTAACAGGCAGAATGAAGTCTGATATTCCTGCTTAACTACTGCAAAAGTATCACAGAAATTGCAAGGATATATGTCAAGATTCAGCAGAAGTCATACTGTCTTTAGATGTTTCTGATTATGTCATTATCTGTAACTTCAGAATTTACCGATTTTTTTTTTAGATCACTTAGAAATAAACATACTCATTTGGCTAAATAATGGAGTACTTTTTTTACAATAATTAAAAACATCTTACCAAAACAAAGAACATCCAGCTTACAATGTTGGAGGAAGCCCACTCCACAGTGATTTAATTCCCTCTATTTGAATAATTTTCACAAACGCATCCTAAAAACATAACAAGGCAAAGAGCTATAAATAGCTATAAAGCTTTTGTACTCAGTAATATAGTTCAGCTGGCAAAACACAAAATTAATGTATTAAAAAGTATGTTTCTAAAATGGCTTATCATTCTAAGATCCCAGTTTTGTAATTGCTAACGCTGTCATATTTAATCACCCAAACAGTTCCACTCAGCTGAACAGTAATATATGTGTGTTTGAAATTTAGAATTTCTTTCCATCTTTAAAGGACCGAAGTAGTAAGTTTTTGTCAGTAACTGACAGCCCTGTGAATAAGTTATTTTCAGAACTGACATAGCACAGCAGCAACCTGTGGAAACTTCCCCCAAATAATCCACTAAAATATTTTTTTTAATACATAACAACAGTTCTAGGCATGAAATAACAATTAACTCTCAATGATTCTTCAATATTTGCTTTCTCTGACAACAATGTGACAACATACGTGCAACGTATATACACTATACGACATACTTGGAAGCTTACAATTAATACCACAGCTGTTCCATGCATTCCCAGACCACTGACAGCAGATGAACACTAAAACTTGAAGATCGCTTGACTGAAATCACCATCAAAATATGAGGATACCTAATTTTCTTAAACATTTGGGGGAAGAGGTTGAGATTTGATGGGTTAGAATATGCTTAAGACCAGACATTATCACAGGGCCTGACAGACTGCAGAAAGAAATCACAGGAAGAAAAAGGCAAATAGCTTTAGAGGAGACAGCCTAGATGGGGAGATCCACCAAGGTAAAAAGTTGCATGGGGAAAACAAAGACATGATTCATTAAAACAACCCTGACTTGCGAAAAGGAGCTTTGAGAGGGAGTCACAAAACCCTAAAAGGTCCTGACATGATTTGACAAAAAAGACACTTAGGAGGAAAAAAAAAAAAGAAGACAGAAAATGTCACACTAGTATTTTATGTCTTCTCCAAATATATTCTGTGCTAGTTAGTTTCTATGTTCCAGCTTCAACAAACTCACAGTTCAGGAAGGTATAGATAAGAGAATGGAGAAAGGTCATTAACTAAATCCATCGACTGAGCAGCACGTTTGTATACCTTACTGGCTATACGGGCAAATGCAGCAAAACATTTGCACAGTCCTACCACTGGAAACCTACAGTGCCCACTACAATTGTCTTTACTGACACAACTGACCAGCACTGTTTTTCTAAAAAAATGAAAAGAGGTCCAATGATACGACAGTCATTTTTCTTTGTGGATCACCTTGTCACAGCAAAAATGGGCGTAAAATCATGTCAGTTAGAAAACTAGGCAACTTTCTAAAAATTGTACAGTAAAGTTTCATTCTTCTCAGAAATTTAATTCTGAAAAATCCTTGATCTCGTGTGTAATTTAACGGCAGAGTCAAACAAAATCTTGACTAATGAAGCAGCATCACAGTGTCGACAGCAAGTCTGCTTCAAGTGTCTGGGTAAAAAGCAAGTCCTGCAAGTTTCGATGGATCCAGAACTTGACACGTGAACGTAAATTTAGAATGCTACCTGCATCGTTAGCTTGGCTCGGGAGCATACTGGGAGATCTGTGGGCAGAAGAACTGCACAGAAGATCGGTACTTGCAGTTACCAGCTATCGACAATATAGCTCGGGAAAATAAAATCATAGAGCCAGCATCCTGTGAGGAGAGCTGTGCAGCTGTCCCCTTGTTCGTCTCAAGGAAGGAAAGTGTATTTTCATGTAGAAAGGAGAAGGTATCATTAATCACAACAGAAATTACACAATGTAACCACATGAATACAAATGATAACAGATTCTACTAGATCTTGGAAAAAAAACAATAAATTTACCGTACACTATTTAAAAATGTTTTCAATGTGCAGTTTTATATAAATGTAAAATGTTCTTACCAACGTCCCTTTGAAATGCCCAGGTTTATTACACCAGGGTTTGCTCTCCCCATTCTCACAACCACATATATGATCCACAAAGCCATGGGAGTTTACACAACTTTCCTAGTAACATGGTGTATAAGAACATTGCTAACGTGTGTAAGTATTCCTACTCAGTGGCAATTTCTAATGGGATATAATGGCAACAGATTTATCATGGAAATAATGGCAACACAGATTTACCTCTGGTTAGACACAGAGGGGCAAAACAACCTTGGAAAGTAAATGACATTGTAAAAGGGAAGAGGGAACAACTGTACTCTGCAGCGTGCTGGACTAAATGCAACTGTCCTCACAGGCTCCAGGGGACTGGTTTGTGTTCTACTACCATCTGCTGAAGGCTAAAAACAACACAAGACCTGAATGTCACCGTTGTGTGTAATGGTGGGAACATCTTTCAACTTTTAAATCTTCTATTATGTAGCCTCAGCACCTGCATTACAAGTGGAGGTGTTAGGTCTTAGGTTAGACTGTATTTATACTAGATCATACTCACCACTTGGTTTTGATTTCTTCTATATCAGGTACTCTGAACCTGTTTGATAAAATGTTATTGCCATTATAAAAACATACTTTGAGCTTCACATTTTCAGATTTCTGAAGGGTTTGGAATTTACTAGAAAAACAGGATAAGAAGGCACAAGGATTTTTCCTGATTTACAGCATGACTGTGAACATTCATCTGTTTAGAACCTAAGTGGGGTGGGTGACTTGGGTTCTAAATAGATGGCTTAGGTAAGACTTACTACTCTTTCTCAAAAGCATCTGGATTCTGGAGGAGATGAACTTTGAGATAGCATCCTGATCACATAAGTCCTCTGATGAAATATTTAGTTATTTATTAATAGATTTTTTTCAACTCAACTCAGTAATAGTTGTACCTTCTGCTACAATGAAAATACTGAGGCAGACAGAAAAAAGCCTGCTTAAAATGGTACGTGTTTATGGGATTTTTTTCCCACTGTGTCTGTTCACTGGTACATTCCTTCTTTAGCAGTTTCAGTATATATCCCTGTGTTGTCTTCCGCT